TGGGACCAGTGGGCACCCGCAATGCATGCAGGCTTCCTGTGGACTGCCCCTTCAGCCCTTGTATCTCAGGACAGCAAAGAGGGCAGCTGTCACTGGACACATGAGAAAATAGAGGAGCAGGTGAACCTTCCTTGGCATCAAGCAGCTAGCCCCCAAGGGCTTTGGTGAGGATTTTCCAGGCCACTAGGGTACCAGCTGTCACTGACACTGCTGAGGGCTTCTGCCCAGAGGTTGAGGTGGAGTCCTAGAGCCCCAAGGCAAATACAGAGTCAGGACATGGTGCTCTGGAGCCATGGAAAACACCGTGAGCCCTTAAAAAAAAAAAAAAAGTTTTTTATTCTTAAAAAAAAAAGGTCAAGCAAGGCCAAAACAAACAAACAAAAAACAACAAAAAAAAAACTTACCCAAACATGCAAGAGTATTTAACATGAAGCTCAGATGCACATGATGATAAAAAGAAACATGGACATTGCCATGTCACCCCAACATGCACTCCACATGGCTAAGGCAAACTTGAGGAGGTCCCAAAAGCCTGGGCTGCAAGTATAGGTGTTACATACATTGTAGCTTACAAGTATCCACAGGCAGGCCAACCCGTCTCATTCTCTTCCCCTCTTCCTGCGTTTTCATCATGATTATGCTTATCTGAATTTCCAGGTACTTGTTTTGGTCAGAGAGACACCTGGTGGCTCTTGAGACAAACCACACTGTGCTGCCAAAAGACAGGCAAGGGGGACTGAGGAAACACAACCTCTGTAAAGGGGGGCAATGGCATTCACTTTGGGGGGAGGAGTGAGCTTTCCAGAGGGAGCACTGGCTGTGGGGCAGAGCCCAGTGGGTTTGAGCGCCTCTGCTGCCTCCAGGACAGCTATGACAGGTACCTTGAGGCTCAGTACCTGCCTGTGGAAATGGGGCCATGATGCAAATAGCAGGCCTGCCAAATAGCACCTGCCAACACCTGGCCTGACCAGAGCCTGCCTTAGCTCACAACAGGTCCACTGAGCACCTCTGTTCAGACGGTTGCAACTCAGTCAGGAGTCGGGCACCCATGGGCAGGAAGACTTTGCCACCTGTGTCCTGATGCAGGCCACTCATAAAAGATACCCTCTGTAACATGAATCATGTCCATGAGCTTTCCTCTGGGGCTGGGGCGAAAGCATTATGGGAGACCTTCTCGCCTCTTTTCTGTATTTCTGTATGCTTACATTTTTGCTATAAGCAATTGTGTTTATACTAAGAAGAAATAATAGCCATTTCAAGTTCAGAAGGGAAAAATGCTAAATTTCCATCAATTCCTGTTTTCATTTTATTCTTTGGATGATTTTCCATCTGTTTATTCATCTTTTTGAATAGAATAAAGGAGACTCTAGGATTTCACAGCATTACTTAACATTCTTATATTCTATCCTGTAATTCCAATCGTTGTCATTGTCTTCACACAAAGGGGAAGAGCAGACAAGTAGACATCTTCCTCTGGAATGAAAACCCAGACAGTGGTGTTTGTACACCTGCCCAAGTTGAGCTTGAAAATGAAATAGAGTGGTTTCATTCCTGTCAGCTCCACACCACTTCCCTATCCCAGTCAGCTTCCTCACACACTGAGGTAGTCTGAAAAATGAACTGATAATCACCATGAAATGCTTAAAGCATTTCTTATATGTTGCTTTTATTTTTAACAAAATAAGGAAAAAAATTGTATGCAAACAAAAATTTCCTAACTCAATTTTATACATGTTAGGGAAATTACTAAAGTACTAACAAAAATTTTAAAACAAAATAACCCTTCTATAATTCAAGTGATCATTTATCTTTTTCTTTCTTTTGTTTTCTTTTTTTTTTTGAGATAGAATCTCAAGCTGTGGCCCTGGGTAGAGTGCTATGGCGTCACAGCTCACAGCAACCTCCAACTCTTGGGCTTAAGTGATTGTCTTTGCCTTAGCCTCTCAAGTAGCTGGGACTACAGGTGCCTGCCACAACACCTGGCTATTTTGTCGGTGTTGTTGTTGTAGATGTTATTGTTATTTAGCAGGATTGGGCCGGGTTCAAACCTACCAGCCCCAGTGTATGTCACTGAGCTATGGGCACCACCACCATTTTATCTTTTTTCTAATTAAACTACTTGATTGGCTGATTTTACTCTATGATGTATTTTTAAAAAATAAAGGTCATCTTTATTAATCCTGATTCCTTAGTAAACTAGAAGAATAATTTGAGGACCTATTATTTTACATGGTCAATTTCCGGAAGTCATTTTTAAAAAGAAAGCTAGAATTACATTCATTTATTTGAAAGGTAATCCTATTGCAATTCTCTATTAAGGTCTTAAAACTGAAAATTCATCAGGAATGCTGTGGGTTTTCTGGTGCCTGGTGAATCTATCAGGGAAATCTGCTCAAGTTTTAGAAAGTGTAGAAAACACTTTCCTTCCTGAGGTGGTCCCAACTCTTGCTTTTCACAATGGGACATGCACACAGCATGAAATTTCCATGTCTAGGCATCCAGAAAGTTGTGTGCCTGTGGCATTTAGCCTTCTAGAGGGTGCCAGCACATAGCACCTAGGGATGGCCAACTAGTGTACCCGTTGTTTTGAGCACATGATAATCACCTCAGTGATTCGATGAGAAGTGTGGTTGCCAAGATGTGGATATGGGGGGAACCTCAAAATGTGATAAGGAGTAATGTCACTAGCATGTCTCTGGAACCTACAACTGTGAACACTTGTAGGTAGTTTGTGTCAATGGTGCCTAGTTTCTGTTTCCCTTTGAAGAAGGTAAATGTCCTGGCTTGCCTGGATAGTCCCAGATTAGGCCAGTTGTCCCCACATAACTATTAATAGCGCCTCATTCTACCCAAAGCATCCTGGTTCAGATGACAAATCACACTGTCACCTCCTTTCATGCACACCCCGTGTGGGGTCCCCTCGCTGCCCCAGGTACCCACAGAGGTTCCCAGCAGAGCTCCTCAGCTCAGTTTTCTGCCACTCCATCTGCCTTACTCTTCCATGGCCAAGAAATCCAAATCAGAACCCCCCTGACTAAGATATGAGTGTCTGAGAACAGCCATTTGTAGAAAATTGCCCTAATGCAGAGAACTGATGTGATGTGATGGGGTAACTGAAGCCCTGCCCCTCCTCCCTGGTGGGGGAGGGACTCGGACAGGGGCTGCCTAGAGTTTTCCCCACACTCTGAGGCCACCTGTACCTGGTACTCAGGAGAGGAGTTCACCAGAGCTGGGGATGGCAGGTCAAGAGCACTGCAGTCACCCTCACACCCCTGCTGTTAAGACCTCCCTCCTTCTGCCTCCTAAAGCAGAGCCAGCACCCTGAGGTTCTTACCACAGACAGGCTGTGCTGGCCTCTGACCCTACTTTACTCACAGACCAGCAGGGCAAACATTGAAAGGAATAAAAGAAACTTTATTCTAGTAGAGTATATGGAAAGTTTTTGAAGAAGGAATTACCCAACCAAAAAAAAAAAAATTCCTTATCCTCATAATAACATCTAAAAGGTTATTTTCTTTAAAATTATAAGAATATTTTTATGTTCACATATGAACATGAAGTTTATCGTCCTAAAAGTTTTAGAGATCAACATAATTTGATTCTTTAGATAATGATTAGCCTAGTTAGAAAACAAGAAATATTCCCCAAGTAACAACACTGGGGACAGATGGTGGGGTGGGGCTTGGGGGAGAAGCAGAGACTAAAAACAATAAAAACACAACAAAACCCTGTGCTTGGGTTTTAGAAGATAAAACGTGGCAAAAACTACATTAAAAGCAAAAACTGAAACTAACCATCCAAGGTGAAGATGAGATGACCTCATGAATCAATTGCATTCTAAGTATTGATACAACTAACATGTCACTGGCTGATCTGTCATTCCAGGAGGCAAGGACCTTTTCCTTGGTTATGTTTATCAAGCAAACTGATGTTAAAGGTAGCAGAATTAAAGAAAAGCCCTCAGAGCCAACAGACAGGCATATACACTGGGTGCTGGCTGAGTGACCCTGGGCCAAATTCTCAGCCTCTCTGAGCCTGTTTTCTTGCCTATGAAATGCGGGCAGTAACAGCTACCTTGCTGGTTTAGTGGGAAGATTGGAAGCAACCTAAAAAAACATGCTGCTAACATTGCCCCTGGCAAATAATGGACACTCAATAGAGACAAGGGCTTCAGTTTAGAAATTAATCTGATGCTAGCACTGTGTTCCCTTGTGGTTCTGTCAGTCACCACTGACTTCCAAGTCTACACCGGGCCCATTCCCGACCCTCTGAGGTCACACAACCACAAAAAGAACACTGACAGGTAAAAACAGACTTTCTTTGGAGAGCTGCGGCCCCTCCTCTAAGGTGCCCACACAGGAGGAGGTGGAAGGTAGGCTTGTGGGGGCACCATGCTCTCCTCTCATTCCTTGGAGTCTCCAGGGGTACCAGTGACATAGATTCTCTACTGGACCCCAGGAGGTGACAGAAGACCACGTAAAGGAAGCTCCTGGGGCCATGTCGGGGTCTGCTGCATGCACACACCTCCCATTAGGCACCTGTTTCAGCACCACAGGCTGCAACAGGGACATGGAGGATGCCCCGGCCTCAAGTGCCTGGACTGCAGAGGAGGCCAGTGTGGGCTCAGGTCAGGCTCTGGGACATGCACTACCACTGGTGGCAGCAGCACTGAGCTCTGGGAAGAGAAGCCAGGGCTCCATGGAGAAGTGGCTTCTACACAAGAAAGAAGCCTCCAGAGCTGGCAGGTGGTGTGGTGACCTGCATGGCTGAGGTGTGGGTGTGAGAAGCAGGGAGCAGATTCCAGCAGGAAATGTATACACCACCACCACAGGACAACAAGCCTGTCCTCTGAGATGACAGATATGGTGTAGGGGATCCCCGGTGTCAAGGATGCCAAGCACATAGAAGGGGAGAAAAAGCAGACTGTGCCAGCAGAAGACAACAGGTGCACCTGAGGTAAACTGAGGTTTCAGAAATGCAATGCACGTCGATGTCTCAGAAAGAGTCAAACAGTGAGTTCTGATTTAATACAAGGTCCCTGGAAAGGACCAAGCTAGGTTTTCGGTCCCATTGACAGTGTTTCTCATTATATAGGTAGTCGACCCAAACACCACAAGCAGAGTCTATGAGAGCTGACTTGCTTCTCGTACTCTGGAGTCCAGGCAGGATTCTGACAAAGCACACTCTGACAGCACGGTGACGCCACAACACTCAGGCCAGCACCAGTAGGACCCAGGCAGGGCAATCCTCTCCAGGCCAATGCCAGCTGTATCTGGACAAGGCCTCTTCAGGGCGAGATTATTGGAAATGTCCAAGAAGTGAAGTCCCCCAAAGCTGGGCCAAGCTTTGCCCACCCTGCTGCTGACCATGGGCTCAGCAGCTGCTCCTCCTGGGGAGGAGAAGAGCTGGCCGCTAGGCTGGAGGGAGCTGGGTCAGTCCTGCCCAGGGCTGTCAGATATACTGCTCCTCATCTCTGTCATTCAGGAGCAGAGACCACTTGTCCCCACCACTGTCCACAGCAGTGCTATGCCGACGTGGCCTGTTGGAAGTCAGGGAGGACAAAGACACCTGGCTGACGTAGCTGACCTGGTCCCACGATGTGGCCCTGGGGGAGTCGTGGCGTCGGTCATTCATGCCAATATGCACACTGACCTGTGACGCGGTCAGAGGCCTCATGCGGCCGTGGGCCTGCGCCTCGTACCTCTCCAGGTCGGGCTTCTTATAGCTGTAAAGAACACAAGAGCATCAGAGCCATTCTGGGCACAAGACTCTTTTTGTTCTCTTTCTTGAAGACCAGTGAAGACTTCTCATCCATCTTTCAGTAATATGCAGCATGAAAACCTCATGGGTTTTAAAGAAAAAGGACATTAAGCTTCTATCAAGGTTCAAGTCAAGTTCACCTGATTTAAAAACCTCCTAACAGGGCAGCGCCTGTGGCTCAGTGGGCAGGGCGCCAGCCCCATATACTGAGGGTGGCAGGTTCAAACCTGCCCTGGCCAAACTGCAACAAAAAAATAGCCGGGCATTATGGCAGGCACCTATAGCCCCAGCTAATCAGGAGGCTTAGGCAAGACAATTCCTAAGCCCAAGAGCTAGAGATTGCTGTGAGCTGTGATGCCACAGCCGTCTATCGATGGTGAGAAAGAGAGACTGTCTCTTAAAATAAAAACAGAACTTCCTAATAAGCAAATGCCTTGCATATAGCAAGCTGCCATTACCTTTTATTAAATCCATTCATTAACAAATACATGAACGTCTTTTGTAAAGAAGGAAAAAAGATAACATACAAGGTGATCTCACATCTCCATGGTATTCACATACATGGCCCTTGCGCAGAGCAGTGAGAACAGCCCAGCAGGTGTGACTGCTCAGTGGCAGATCACCTGGCTCAGGGCTGCTACATCACACCACACACACCCGGGCTGCCACTGTGGGGTTTGCCTCCCGTGGTGAATGGGAAGTGGGCAGCAGGTGCTCAAGCCCACTCTCAGCCCAGGACGCACACTGGTCAGCCCCAATCTGCTGCGAGCAACAGCAGGGCCTCCCAGAGGCTGACAGACGTTCCCACCTAACCCCTAGAGGACTCACCACTTGAGTTGCAGGGAGGACAGCACCACAGACACGGAGGAGGCTGCCATGGCCGCCGAGCCCATCCACGGCTGCAGCACGATGCCGATGGGCATGAAGACTCCTGCCGGGGAAGGATGGGCTCACACTGTGGCCGGAGGTCAAGTGAGAAGCGACCTCCAGAATCAATCTAGGACCTACCCCTGGCTGCCCCTGTCCATGGTGCACCCTCAGGCCCCTTTAGGGGGTCATCCTAAAAGCTGGGGGTGGGGTGTTGTCAGGGATCTGGCTCTCCTATACCCACCCTGCCCTTCCCAGAACCGCCCATGGGAACACTCTGAGGAGCAACAAGTGCAGAAGACGGGGTGCAGGTGGCACAGGGTCCAGCTGTCCTGAAACAAAGCCTCATCTACACAGAGAAGCCACCTCCAGGGCCTCACAACACCTTTAGGAGAGAAGTGAGTGCCAGGCCCACAACAAAGCCAGGACATGAGGGTCAACTGTCCATGGTTGGCTCTTGGACACTGAAGCGAATCAATTTCCTGAGCCAGCTCTGGGGGAAGGTGACCCGCCTGACTCACCAGGCTCAGGAGACTGAGATGGACACACCGATCCTACAGGAGTGACTAACCACTTAGACACAACAGTGGAGACCAAGGTCTCCTCCACCAATGGCGGAGCACCACCGCACAGCGGGGCCTGGAACTCTTTCTCACCAGGTTCCACAGGATTTGAAGGAGCAGGGGAAGTTAGGAGGCAGAAAAGTTTTCATTTCTTTCCATGATCAGAGGAAACCTGGGCAGGATTAATTTTTGTTTTTTTGACAGAGTACTGCTCTTATACCAGCAGGAGTGCAGTGGCATGATCATAGCTCACAACAACCTCAGACTCTTGGGCTCAAGAGATCCTCCTGCCTCAGCCTCCTGAGTAGCTAGGACTACAGGCGTGCACCACCACACCTGGCTAGTTTTTCTATTTTTAGTGGAGATGGCTTCTCACTATTGCTTAGGCTAGTCTCAAATGAACCCTTGCCTCAGGCTCCCATAAATGCTAGGATTACAGGCCTGAGCCACTGGCAGGGCCTCTACACAGGATCCATTTTTAAGACAATGTTTTGAAGCACCAGCCTTGCATGTAGCAGGTGCCCCATGACTATTAGCGATGAGTATTTTTCAGACTGTACGCCTTAATAAATGGTTCAGAAAATAGGGCCACAGTAAATAAAGCCAAACCTCTCAACCATCTTTGTAGAAAGGACCCGTATGAATGAAGGTTTGGGGGTCCCCACAGCAGTTTCTCATTTACCTTTAGAGACACACACATTCATAGAGACACGTTTCATCACAGGGCATGTAATGAAACCAGTCTTTCTAAAAGGCCACCAGCCAGTCAGCAAGGCACCTCCTCACCAGGCTCTCTAGGAGCCTGGCAGGGAGAAGGCCGGAGCCGATAACAGCCACCCCTACCTGCTGCGATGGGGACCCCAATCAGGTTATAAATCAGCGCCAGGACCAGATTGACTCGGATTCTGCGGACAGTCCTCTTAGAAAGGTGAATGCTAGCCACCACATCGAGCAAGTCATTCTGGAGGAGAGAAGTAGGTAGTGAGGGGGTCTGGTCTGCCCCAACCTTTCCCTCACCACCCACAGCAGCGGCGCTCACTCTGATGAGGACAACGTCGGCCGCCTCGATGGCAACGTCTGTGCCAGTGCCGATAGCAACACCCATGTCTGCCTGGGCCAAGGCCGGGGAGTCATTAATCCCGTCTCCCACCATGGCGACTTTCCTTCCTGTGTCCTGCAGCTCCTGGACTTTGGCCACCTTGTGAGAAGGTAGTACCTCCGCGAAGACCTTCCTGATCCCAACCTGAGAGGAGAGGAAAGGAGCACCTGGCACTGGCAGCAGGGGGCAGCACAACCCACGTCACCCACGCCTGCCGCTGCAGCCGCCATGTCCAGCCAGGGAGGCCACAGCCAGCCTGTGGGTCTGTGGACATAGGGCATGTTTCTACCCAGCTTCCAGCCCAACATCCTGCACTCACTTAGGCCTGTCCTTTCTCAGATGGCCACCAGCCCCCTGCTGGCCTCCCTATCCACATCTCAGCACCCCAACTCGCCCCTCCCAGAAGTCTTTCCAAAACAACAATGGCTGGACTAGCAATCATGTGGATCTCCTGCTTCTTGTCCTCCAACAGGTCCAACCTACCTGCTTGGTGGCCACAGCTGGTGCCACTCTGGACCTGTGACTGCAGCTCTCTGCAGCTTCTCCTTATCACCAAGCCACTGCACCACTCTGTGCCCTGGTGAGGCTCACGCTGCCTGCTGCAGGGAAGGCTCAGTCTCCCCCCATCCCCCATCCCCTCCTGATTCTCAGATCTAGGGCCAGTTGCTGCTGCGCCCTGTCCCTCATCCACCCTCCTGTAGGACCATGAGCCCCTCTTCTCTTCCCCAGTGCCTGGCCCTGTGCTTGTCCGTCACATCCCTGGTGCTGTGTGTCCCTGCTGAGTGGACGAACGAGGTCTAAACAGGAAAAAGGGGGAAGGTATTCAACAAGCCCATCACTAGCAAGGATGACCACCAAAAAACAGGAGTATTGCGTCTTCCCTCACAGGATGCAATTAGTTTTCTTTTCAGTCTCCCTATATTGCCTTTGCTAGAGTGCTATGGCATCACAGCTCACAGCAACCTCAAATTCTTGGGCTTAGGCGATTCTCTTGCCTCAGCCTCCCGAGTACCTGGGACTATAGGTGCCATCACAATGCTTGGCTATTTTTTTTTTTTTATTGTAGTCATCACTGTTGTTTAGAAGGCCTAGGCTGGATTTGAACCAGCCAGCACTGGTGTATGTAGCTGGTGCCCTAACCACTGAACTACAGGCGCCAAGCGAAGATGTAATTACTTTTCAAAAGCATACAGCTCTGCACACCTTTGTGGGGAAAGGAGAGTATAATTTTCAAGAATTCACTCTGGAGCTGCTGCTGTGTGTGCAGGCAGGCAGCTGGCCTTTAGTGCTGTCCTCTCAGCCCAAACTTGGCACCCAGGGCTGCTGGAGGGACTGCCCAGGCCTGTGCTGTTCATCTGGGCACCTGGGTGAGAAGCACCACACTGGCAAAGCCTCCTCTAATGTAAAGGGTAGAAGATGTCTTTTAGCCCCCAAGCCATAAATTATTTTTCCCTATCACAAAGTCTGGGAAATGGTTAGAGAACACTGGAATCGCTTTTTGCAGGATGTATGACCCCAGGCCCTGGGGATGAGATCTCCAGGGTAGCAGCACAGCGATGGGAGACGCTGCAGAGCTTGGAGCAGAATGGAGCACGTGGGAAAAGCAGCTGGAAAGAGAAGCCACGCTGAGTGCGGGTGCCCGCTTCTTACTTTAGTCTCCAAATATTCCTTTGAACTTAACAATTTGTAATCTTTAAGGGCCGTACCTGAGTAGCAATGGCTCTGGCCGTCTTCCGATTGTCCCCCGTGATCAGAACCACATCAATGCCCATGCTCTGCAGTGTGTGCACAGCCAGGGCGGCCTCCGGCTTGACAGAGTCTGCGATGGCGATGAGCCCGCAGAGCACACCTGCAGCAGAGCAGCCACGTCAGCACACAGGGCGGGGCACACGGAGCCCACAAAATGTGAAGATTTATGATAATTCTCACCACGTAATGTAACATAATACGGGCAATCCTGAGTTATAAACACTCAACTTATGTACAACTTGCACTTAAAAACAGAGGCTCTTAGAGGAAGTCCCTGAATCCAAGAATCCGACTGATGTTATGAGTTGCACTTTACAAACAGAGGCTATTACAGGTAATAGATAAACATGCCTGTTCCAACTTACGTACACGTTCAACATAAGAGCAAACTTATAGAACCTATCTTGTTTGTAACCCATGGACTGCCGGTATGGTTTTTTAGAAAATTATACACATTTAAAGATACACACAAAAGTCTGGAAGCAATACCAAAATGTTCACAGAGGTTCCCTGAGCACTTTCATTCGCTTCTTCATGGCAGTCTGAATTTTCTAAATTTTCTGTAAGGAGCATATATTATTTTGCAAAGTACCTGACTCATAACAAGAACTCAATATATATTAGCTATTGAAACTTGGGAAACATAATAGATGTTAAAGTGATGAATGTCCAAACTAGAAAAATCAATCCTTTCTTTTTGTCTTTTCCTACAGATAACGTTTCTGTAGAAGTTTTCTTCCAGTGCACCTTTAGACACAGAAGCAGGCTCCTAGGGCTGAGGTCTGAATGGAACAGAATGAAGGAGGTGTGAGAGGGCACGACTCCTTCCGTGGTGCCACTTCTAGTTTGACAAACTGCAGGGATAGTGGGTTACAAAGGCTTAGAAAAAGGGGGAGAAAGAATGGAAGAGGAAGATATATTTGGTGGGAACATTCAAAATACAGCATTATAAATTATTTTTTATTTGCATATAGTGTTACTTCTATTAGCAGAAACTAGCATTACCAAAGCAAAGCAGGTGGACTGCCGAGTTCAGGAGTTTGAGACCAGCCTGAGCAAGAGTGAGACCCTATCTCCACTAAACATAGAAAAATTAGCAGGGCAGGACAGCAGGTGCCTGCAGTGCAGGCAGAAGGATTGCTTGAGCCCAGGAGTTTGAGGTTGCTATGAACTAGGACACCACAGCACTCTACCCAAGGCACAGAGTGAGACTGTCTCAAGAAACAAACAAACAAACAACAACAACAACAAAAGCAAAGATTCTGCTCTCTCTCAAATGCAGATAGACAGGATCTGAGTGCTAACGCACACAGTCTGGAGGCTCTGTGCACAGCCAGTCTGCGCGGAGCAGACACGGAGAGCTGCAGGGACCAGACTATTTAAAGGTGTCCTGTAGTTGCAGCTTTTGGGAAGTGAATGCCTGGTTTGCCTGCAGGGATAAACAAGGATGACTTTGAACCACCCACATGGACAGTAGCTGAGATGATGGCAAAGACAGTTTAGGATTCCAACAGCAAAAAGACCAATGCCAGGGCAGAGTTGAGGTCAGATGGAGACAGGGAGGAAGAAGGAATGTCAGAATGAGAATGAAGAGAAAAGACCTTGCTGGTCTCCAACTCCTGAGCTCAGCAATCCACCCGCCTCTGCCTAGCAAGACAACTTTTTAGAAAACAGACCTGAAATTAACAGAGAGGAAGATTTGTTTAAAAAAAAAAAGAAAGAAAGAAAGAAAGAAAGAAAGGAGGACCCTTTTTGCCTGACATCCTCAGAAAACTGCATTTTGAGAGACTGAAAGGAAGTTCTGAGCGGGAGTACCGTCAATGGCCACCAGGATGGCCGTCTGCCCTTTCATCTCGTGGTCTGTCATAGCGTCACTGACGTCACTGGAAATGGTTAAGCCATTGCGCCTCAGCCATTCCCGGTTTCCAATCAGCACAGAGTAGGTGTGCGGGGCTGCATCTATTCACAACAGACTGTGGTTATTCCTCAGCAGTCCAATTACACTATGAACTGAAAATCATGCAATCCTTTTTATAGCAAAATATGCATTTAACCATTCTCAAAAACCATAATCTAGTAAGCGCCTCTTCAAATGCCATCCTTTAAGATGGGAAACAAGTACAATAAATGTGCAGAACAGATGGATATGAATTAAAATGGGGTGTTGATAGCATATGCTATATGTGTGAAAATGTCACAAGCATATTAGGACATCATCATGACATGTCCTTACCTGCCTCTAGACCAGCAGTTCTCAACCCATGGGTCGCGACCCCTTTGTAGTAATGAAAATACATCTCAGCATTAGGAAGGTTGAGAACCACTGCTCTAGACGTACCACTGACTCGTGGTTAAAAACCAGTTGTCAGCCTCATACCCAAAGCAAGTGTTAACTGGATTCACTACTGCTTGTTATCAATGGCCCAAGGTAGTCAATAAATAATCAGACAAGTCTATTTCTATGAAATGTTTTATCCTATACCTCCTGAAAGGCCAAGTGCATTTCTCACCTTTTAGCAGTGTGCTCTGAGGTGTCCCTGTACAACCTAGTTCCTGAAAGCTAGAGTGGAAAGGTCACCCTAGGTTTTAATTCAGTAGGAGGTGGCAGATGGAATCTAACACAATGTAAATCAAGATTTCATGACCCAAATTCTTAGGAAAAAACACTACACCTGAGTTTTGGGGTGGTCCCTCTCCCCTTATACTGATAGCTGGCAAGCTACCCTTAGAATAAGAAAGGTCCTTTTTTTTAAGCAGGAGTTGTTCTGAGAAGTGCCCTTCCTGACTTGGATGGGACACTTTGTGTGCTTTCCCTGAATTCTTCTGCTGGTTCTATAAATACTCCTTATCCAGTGGTTCAACCACATGGAGGAAAACAAGCTGAACAAAAATCCAAGAGCTCTCTCTGTCTATACTGCAGCTTATGAGAAGCACAATCGATTAGCAATAAGGAGAATCAAAATAGTGTGTGAGCTAAGCACTGCTCTGTGAAGCTAAGCCACGTCTACATCTGCCTGCTGTGAGCATCAGAGAACACAGGGGACAAACTGAGGCTTTCCTGGAGAAGGCAAGGGCAGGTGCCCAGCCATGAGCCTCTTCTGTCACAGCAGGAGAAGCGTGGCAGGCAAGCCCGCCTGGCACTCTCTGTGGTCTGGCACGCCTCCACTTTACCCAGCCAGGCCCAGATCCAGCTTCAGAGACAAAGGCCACGGATACCTTTTTCCACAGGAAGGCTGCCAACCCCGTTCAGATGACCGGCCCGTTCACCTGGTGGGCGCTCCCTGTGGGCCAGGATGCCTTCCACATTGCTGACTTTGCACCCAATTCCACAACCTGGTACAGCCTGGAAGTCTGTGCAGTATCCCAAGATCTCTGTTCCAAGTTCCTACAAAGGCAGGAGGAGACAGGAAAGGGAGCTGGGACCAGAAACCCAGAGAGGTGCAGTCAAAGGGAGGATAGGGTCACAAGTGAAGGCGGTAAGAGGGGCGTGGCCAGACAGGGAAGGGGGACTGGTGGGGAGAGCGACTGGGAACAGCGTTAGCTTCAGTCACCTGACCCTGACATCACAGAGGGGAAACTGAGGAGGACTGCTCAGCCTAAGTCTCTCCCTGGGTGACACCCATGGGTGACCAGGCCACAGACTGGAATGGAGAAACAAAAATTCACACCAAATACTGCGAATAGAGGAGGGGCGCAGGTGCCAAAGAGAGGAAGACACCATGTTTATGTTGTAAACGATTTCATAAAAACAATGGAACAAGCAGGCAGCTGCAATGCTGCCTCTAGGCTCTCCAGAGGTCACTGCCTTGCACCAGACCCTGGAGGAGGGGGGACGGGGCACCAGGGAGAGAATGAGCAGAGCCCTGTGAGGGCTGGTGTGAGCCTGCGGTCTGAGTCTCCACCAATGGAAACACTAGAAATCAGGTTTCTGGAAGACCCCTTGTCCAGGAGTAGTTGTCAGCTTCTTTCCAAGGCACCCAGCTTGCCTTTTCTACATTTACTAATAACAGTACTGCTCAGGCTATTTAAAAACTGTCAGGGCGATATCTCCCCCCCACCCTCGTACTCCCCTTTCACAGGTGTCCCCTTGCACTTGGTGCTGACGTCAGACAGTTTCTAGACAACCTCCTTCCCATCCTAGGCTATAAGCTCCCTGAGGGCAAAGTTCACACCTCGCGAGTTTTGTTGTCCTGAGCCCAGTGCCCAACAGATGCCCAGCAGATGCCCAGTGAGAGATAATCTGGGACTGTGACAAAGGCTGTCTAGGAACCTCCTCCAGAGGGGCCTGCTCAGTGGTTTTCTTGCCCACACGGCAAAGGCCTCCTCAAGACAAGGTGAAGCAGGGAGGGAGGGGCAGAGCCACACCTAGGCCCACCTACCTCCTTACAGTATTTGGTGACTGCCACCCCCAGGGGATGTTCACTGCTGGCCTCTGCAGTCCCCACCACGGCCAGAACCTTCCTGAGGGGCAGTGAGGCCTCGTCCACGAGCAGGAGGAAGCGCATGACTCTGGGGACCCCGTGGGTGATGGTGCCAGTTTTGTCGAACATCACAGTCTTTATCTGCCAAGAACAACCATGTCTCCGTGACCACAACACAGATGCAAGGGGCTTTCATAGTCCACGCAATCTTTAGGCAGAACTTAAACCAACCTACCTCGGAAAGACAGCAACACTCCTTCTTAACCTTTTAACATAACCCTCTATAGTCAATCGTGGGGTTCAATAACGCCAACTGCGAAGAAACTATTTCTCTATCTGCCCAGCCAAATACAACCACACAGTGGCTTCACCCTGACTGGATGAAGCCAGAAACTCTCACTAGGCTGCAAAGGCTTCCTAGGTCAGAGGTCAGGACCCCGGGTGTTCTCCCCCCACCCAGGGCTATGTACCGAGCCCAACCACTGTTTTCTCTTGCCTGCTTAAGTGCAGAAGCTACTAGAACTAAAGTCCTCAGCCTCTTAAGCCTCTCAGCCTAGCTCACAGCAACCTCAAACTCTTGGGTTCAAGCAGATCCTCCTGCCTCAGCCTCCTCAGTAGCTGGGGACTATAGGCGCCTGCCACATTTTTCTATTTTCAATAGATGGTGTGGGGAGATGGTCTCATTCTTGCTCAGGCTGGTCTCAAACTCTTGAGTTCAGCCTCCCAGAGTATTAGGATTACAGGTGTGACCTAACCACACCCCACTTACCATTCTCACTTGTTAGCAAACAATGAGTTCAGCTTTTGTTTCTGAAGCTGAGTTGGGCCTCCTCCTTCAACACCACTAACCAATCTTCCCTAGGACTCTTGCCTCCTTCACTCTGCAGCCAGACGATCTTCGGAAGATGTAACTCAGTCACACCCCCTGGGTGCATCACAGCCTCCATAGCTCTTGTTCTTCTTGGGGTGACGTTTAGAACCTTTTACTAAATCTCCAAATCTTCATATTCTGGCCCCTCCTGCAACACCTTCATCTCCAGTTTTTCTCTTTTTCTGTCAATCATTTTCTTCCAGTTCCTCATTTATTTATTTAGCAAATAACTCCTCCTGAATACCTTGAATGGGCTGGGTCCTGGGCTAGATGCTGGAGATACAGTGGCGAGGAGAGGTTCAGTCCCTGACCTCACAGAGCCCACACCACAGCAGCACAGCCTCCTCAGCTCTCTCCACCTGCTGTTTCCACTGCCAGAACATTCTTCCCATCCTCTGCTGAACAGTAAACTCTCATTCAACTGGTAGGGCTGGCAGAGCCCTGAGCCCTTGCTTGCATGCTCCCCTAAACCCTCCTGAAGACCGCGTGTTGCTCTGTTCAGACCAACCTTTGAAATCCCTTCCCTGACCACCAGCCTTCTTCAGCCCAAGAAGGACAGGAGCCACAGGGGCTGTGACGCACACAGGTGATGATGCTGGGTTACGTGTTTGGAAGATCATTCTGGCTACAGAGTGCGAAGGCAAGAATCATTGGGGGAAGATCAGTCCACACAGCGCGTCCAGGCGCCCAGGTTAGGACCCTGTTAGTGTCCCCATGACATCTCACTGTCTCCAAATACTCAGCATATCTGTTGTTCATCTGTCTTTCCACTTAATTTTTAAGGTCCCTGGTAGCTGGGAACCATGACCTCATCAGAACCTTCCTTGGGTCCACACACACAGTGAATAAATGCAAGTGTGGAAGGTAGGAAGATCTGCCGCAAACACTGCAGCCCACTGCTCTCACAGTCACGAGACCCAGCACCAACGCCACGGACATGGCGCTGGCGCTCTTCTCCTGGAGCCTGGCTCTGCTTTAACTGCAGGCCTCTGGGCAAGTCACCTAACCTCTTCCTGCTGCAGTCTCCTCATCTGCAAAATGGGAATAACAAGCACCTACTGCAAAGAGCTCTCAATGTGATTAAATCAACTAGGGTTTACGCAGCGGCTCCCACGTGCCTGTCAGCAGCTGCTACAGTCACTGCTGCTGTTAGTCCCGCTTTACCCTCAGGTGGCACTAGGGCTTTTCTTTCAATATAAAATAATAAACAGATACTATTTTCATTAAGATTCTCTTTAGAAAATGGCCCCCCAGACAGCAGGGAGGAGAGGCTGGTGAAAGGCTGACCTTGTGCGCCAGCTCCAGGGGCTTCCCGCCCTTGATGAGGATGCCGTGCTGGGCGGCCACTCCGGTGCCCACCATGACAGCTGTGGGCGTGGCCAGCCCCAGGGAGCAGGGGCAGGCGATGCACAGCACGGTGATGGCTGTCTGGAAGGCGAAGCGGACCACCACCTCCGTCTGAGAGATGTGTTTGTAGGGGTTCTGAGGGGAGACAGAGGCAGAGGTGGGTGAAGAGGTCAGTGAGGAACCTCCCAGAATTCTCAATGTTTTAGCGGGACAGTGGGGCCCGAGACAGTGGAGTGAGCTCAGGTCTAGGAACCACAGTCACACTGTGCTGCTTTAGGACCAGAGTTCACTTTACTGCTCCACACCCCAGCTTAACCTGATCCCACTGGCTTCCCTCCAAGAGGCAGCACAGGCACACAGTCTCACATAAAAACCCTCAGTAGGGGAAGCAGCACTGACTCTGGCATCAGACCAGGTGAATCCTGGCTCTGACACCAGCTTCACCTCCCTGTGCTTCAGTTTCCCCATATACAAAATGGAGATGCAAACACATGTTGTATAAACATACAAACCTACACAGCACAGCACATGGCACAGGAAACCCACCTAAGACATTGACATTGTTATATTATTATTTTTATCGTATTTATGAAAGCTTTAAAAATGATGGACCTCCAACAATCCCCCCTAATGTTATAATCATATAAGCAAAAAAGATACAAAGATACTCATCACAGTGTTTCCGCACTGAGGTGGGACAGTAATGAAAACAATCAACAGGAGATCAGTCAACTGAACTGTGAGTGTGGTGTGTACCATGGAGCACTGCACAGCTGTGGAGATGACGACACATACCTATGCTTAGTAATACAGGATACCAGTGATGCAAAATTAAAAAGCAAACATAAAAAGCCATGTGCTGTGATTTTATTCATGCAAAATTATCTATCTACATCCGCATGTAGGCTTCTAGAAGTACTGGGAAGAAGTCCCCCACAGTCTAAATACAACTTCTAGGATGTGACTTGGAGTCGCCGTGATTGTCTTCTCTACATTTTTCATTATTATTTTCTCTGTAAACCCCAAACAAACAAGGAAAATATGGGTCTACTTTTCCAGATAGCTGGTGGCACATGCTGTTAATATTAGTTGAATTCTAATCACCTGAATTATCTGGGTTTAGTTTTCAAAATGGCTGGTTGCTATGGGGTATAATCAAGGGATAACATATTCACTTAATTACAGTAAAAAGCATGTTTTCTAAATTAAGAATATAAACCACAATCTCTCTAGCTTCCCCCTACACTTTTTGATTTTGAAAAGTAGGATTTTAAAATAAAGTATTTTATTAAAGTGTTACTTAATTTTCACAGAAACAATTCTAATATTTGGTAGAAGGTCATGCTGTTTAAAACAAAATTTGTAGAAATAAAGATGTAATTTTTTTTTAAACCCCAGTAATTCTCATCAAAGTAACATGAGGCATTCTGACAGGCCTGGGCAGACTTCCAGAAGCTAACCCAGACTCTCCCCAAGATGACTTTTGTGTACCAGAGTCCTAAGGAGCATGTCTTAAGGATGACAGTATCTTAAGGAGCATGCAGTACCTCATTTGCCAGCATCCTCCCTGATACTGCAGATAAAAACAAAAGAAGCCAAAGTAAGACAGAAGAAAGCCACATCTCCCCACGTGTTTGGGACCGAGTCTTCCCATGGCCACACACCAAATGCACTGCTCTCCCAACAAAGCGGAAATTCTAGGCAGCCAGGTGCCATGAACAGTCAACAGCAAGTTCTAGGGAATACATTTGTAGGTTACTCTTAAAAGCATTGAGGTTCCCTTAAAGGGCAAAAAGTGCTGAACATGGACAATTTTTAATTTAAGATAGGAAATTTGAGGGATAAAATGACATTTTAGCAAATGACATGTACTCTAAGAACATCTAATAGATCTTTAAAAATGGGCAGAAATTTCTTTGATTTTTTTTTTTCTGTTGCAGTTCGGTCTGGGGTTGGGTTTGAACCTGCCACCCTCACTATATGGGACCAGCGCCCTACTCACTGAGCCACAGGTGCCGCCCAGCAATTTCTTTTAAAGAGAGAAAATTTCCTATTCCCTATTTGTAGTTCTTATTCCATGGCTCTACAGTAAAATAAACATCACACTGGGCTTGGTATGAGAGAAGGTGAAGTACTGCTTCTCTCACTGAGCAGTTATTAAATAGCTTTTTATGTATGTCAACATTTCAACCTGAGCACCACTGGCATTTGGGGCCAGATAATCCTCTGTGGTAGGGTCTGTCTTGTACCTTGAAGGACATGTATCAGGGTCCTGGCCTCTGCCCTCTAGATGCAAGTAGCTGCCTCTCCCAGTCATGGAACCCAAAACTGTCATAGCTCCCAATGGAGAACCATTGATATATGTGGCTCCTGTTTCTCAAACAGGTAAATTTTGAGAGAGGGACTGTATTTCCCAATTTTTTTTTAAAGTTCAATAAAACCATATTTCCTACAATAGCATTCTTCATCTACGTCTTTTAACTCAAAAATGTATATTCTATTGTCTCACACAAAATTGTTCAACAAATGTTTAATTATTAAAAAGCTATCAGCATTACTTGGGGAGTTGGGAAGTCGAAAATAGTACTGGTGGAAATAGAGATTAAAAAAATATATTTCCTTTAAAATCTATCAAATTACCATGCCATGAAAATTTGAAGGGCACTATTTTCTATGATGTATAAACCCCTCATAATAACACATCTCGTAAATGCCAGCATTACAAGGACAGCCAATTGGTGTCTGTGAAAATTATCTAAGTAGGAAGCAAAGGATAACTTTAATAAGAATCTGTGGAAGTGAAATGACTGTCCTACTCTGGATTAGACTTCGCTGCCAATAGTGAAGCAAGCAAATAAAATATAATGAATAATCAAAGTTCAGTGAATCTAAGACATGAAAGAATAGGATTAATGGCAGATTATTTAAAACATAACAACTGAGGTATTCAACTTACAGGAAAGTATTTCTGAACAACACCAAAATTGATAAGACCGATTATAATCCATACCACCAACGTCAAAGTTGAAATAATGACGATAAATGGGACAAAATATCCACTGAACCGGTCGGCCAGCTGCTGAATGGGCGCCTATGAAGAAAAAACACCAAGAGCATGGGAAATCACACCTACAAAGAGACAGACACCGTAAGTGTGGACGCAGACTGGGACTGTAATCTCCCCCATTAAACACGTTTAGTTATCAACCTCTAATGAATAAAACTGCCTGATTCTATGGAACTCCTCAAATAATTTCTATAATGAGGAAACTGAAGTTACACTGTTTTTTAAATCCCTCCATTACCTTTGACATCTGAGCCTCTTCCACTAATTTCACAATCTGAGCCAAAGTGGTGTCGTTGCCCACATGGGTTGCTTGAATCAGCACAGAGCCGTGTGCATTTATGGATCCAGCGATCACGGTGCTTCCGGGTTTCTTGGTGACAGGCATGGCTTCACCTACAGGGGGGACACAACTGACACTCACCCCCACTCGGTACCCACATGACCTGGCCACCACTGTGATGCCCACCAAAGGGAATAGGAAATGAGCGCCTAACCTGTGATGAGGGACTCGTCAGCCATGGTATTGCCTTCTAGTACTTTCCCATCCACTGGGAACTTTCCCCCAGGGACCACCTTGATGATGTCACCACGCTGCACCAGCTCCATGGGGACTTGCTCCTCTCTGCAACAGATGCCATTCCCGTGACACACAGGGCCACTCCCCGTAGCCCACTCTCTGCTCTGTCACCCAGGTCAGGTTTTAGACCAACAGATGAGCTAGTTACAGTACACTTGCTTTGAACTAAACAGCAGTATTTATTGTATCTGTTCACTTACAGCTCGAATCAAGATCAACTGTGCAGCTACTAAATCCCAGGCACTGTTTTAAGCACTGGGAACACCTCTGTGAACGGCGTACCCATGTCCTTACCCTCATGAAGATAAATTCCTAAGTGGAAACACACAAGCAAGGTGGCATCAGGCATTAGATAAGTGCTATGGTGGGGTGGAACCAGGACACTGTGGCTAGAGGGGTTTTAAATGGTGCTTGGTATAAATATATACAACTTAGTAAGCATACACAGGCAGGTATATTAAATATCTGCATATGTTCCTTTCAAAAACTTTTCAGGAGCATTCTCTGTGCAGTGAGCATTAGAGGCCTGCAGGGGTCCCAAGGCTAAGCTCCATTCACCATGTGAACACCTCACTCCAAGGGTGTGAACACCCCCGCTTCCAGCCAGGTCCTCAATTCTGAGAGCTCTGAGAGGAATTCGGAGAGGTGCCGAGTACTGAGAGATGAAGGCTGCTTGATAAGACTAAGCCCAGGCTTGGTGCCTGTAGCTCAGCAGCTATGGTGCCAGCCACGTACACCAGAGTGGGCGGGTTCAAATCCAGCTCAGGCCTGCCAAACAACAACAACTACAACAACAACAAAAAAAACATAGCTGGGCGTTGTGGCAGGCACCTGTAGTCCCAGCTAATTGGGAGGCTGAAGCAAGAGAAACTCTTAAGTCCAAGAGTTTGAGGTTGCTGTGAGCTGTGACTCTACAGCACTCTACCCAGGGTGACAGCTTCAGACTCTGTCAAAAAGAAAAAAAAAAGACTAAGCACACCCGGAGATTTACTGTGTGCTGCTGGGCACCAGCAGGATGCTAGTGAGCAAATCAAACCTGGCTCTGACCTCCTGGGGCTCAGAGTCAGCATTTAAAGATACAGGGCAGCCTGGTTCAAAATCACTGCTTTGTTCCCAGGATTAAGCAAAATGGTGTAAAATGCTTAACACAAACCAACATGTAGGAAGTGCCCAGCGAATGCTGGTGATTCTTACTGATGACATTTCCACTATTGCTTAGCCTCTGTGACACAGGCACAGGCTAGGCTGGGGTTACAAACAGGACATTGCAGAGCCTTTCTTTCAAGGGGTTTATAGCCTTGCAGCTAAAATCAGACACGGAGATGCGAAATTAAGACAATAAATTCAATAATGGTGATGATATAAGAAATGGAATACTGAAAAACAGACTCCCCAAAGTGTGAGTCTTCTATGCTGGGAACAGGTGTGTGTAAGTCGGTTTGGCAGCTAAGGTGGGCCAGTAAACCAGAAGGGAATGACCTCGACCACCCAGGACCATCTCTGCTTGCTTTCTAAGTCTTCCAGCTCTGATACACCTGCTGACGCCCCTTCCACACAACCAAAGGAGTTCTCGGCCAGAGGCTACTGAGTGAGAGCAGGCACCAGTGTACAGAAAAAACAACTGAGGCCCAAAGGGCAGAAGAACCTCTCTTCAGAAGGACCTATTCACTGAGTTTTAAAACGTGTTTCCACAGGGAGACTTGAAAAAAATTAGAGCAACAGTCCAACTGGGTGTCTTTTAAAGAAATCATTAGTAATGCTAATCTCTGCTTAATTTAACTTTGAATTTTTCCTTAGAACCACCTTTCTAACTCTAACAGCTTAATTTACAGTGAATAGTCCTTTATAGGAGTTAATATGGCTTTTTCTGTTCAACACCCAGTAGTATTTCTTCTTCAGAAACTGATATTCCCCCCCAAATGCTCAGTGGCGGCCTTTGGGTTTTTCTCAGTCTTTCTTCAGGTCTAAGCACTTCTGCCAACCATTTACCTCCTTTCTCAACTCTCTTTCCTCATCAAACATAAGAAAAAGATAGAACAATGGTCACTGGTCTGGAACAAATGTCTAATTTTGTTTCCTCTCCAACTGTAAGAAACAGAAAACCCCAATGGGCTGCACCAGCCTTTCATTATCCAGCAGGTGCACAGGGCGAAGCATCTGACAGGCGCCCCGCACACAGAGCTGGTGCATCAGTGCCAGCCGGATGTGGCACAGAGCTCTCACTCTAAGCCAGGCCTGGAGAATTTAAAGCTTTAGGATGTGACACCCAGAACAGGACCTGAGGACAGGGAGCCCGGGAAAGGAGGAAGAAAGGAGTTCAGGCCTCCAGGAGAGCAAGCCCTTCCCAGGAAGCGATGGTGAGGAAGAGAGCAAGGCAGAGGCTGGACAGGACACCGAGCCCTGCTGCCATGTTACTGGATGTGGACGTCATCCTGAGGACAACAGGGAGTGGCTAAGGGACTTTCCACTATAGAGTAATGTGATTAGGTCTGTGCTTTCCAAAACATCACGGGTTTGGAAGTGGAAATATTTTGAAGGAGACAGGTGGCAAGCAGGCGGCAATTAGGAAACTGCTCTGGTGCTTTAGGGGCAGCTTGTGGGGATCTGGATAAGAGTGGAGGCTGTAGGGCCAATAGACGGGGGCCCTAGGGATCAAGGAGCTGCATGGATCCCTAAAAGGTGACCAGATGTGTTGCAGGAAAGGGGTGGCCGAGGCTGCGCAGGCTCTGCTCAGGGAGCAGGCCTGGGGCAGCACTGCCTGAGCTGCACAGGCACTAAGGGAAGGTTAGGGTACTAAGCCTCTGCAAGCCACCCAATAGAAGGGTTCCAACCAGCAGATGGCCCCTGGGACCCGGAGGTGGGTTTGAGCTTCCCAGGCTTTAACTATAGACATGTGGTTGACATGATGTCCAAGGGACAGTCTATAACATACAAAGGTGCCACCACTGAAACCCCAAGGAGCACCTGGTATAATTAGGGGATAAGGAACAAAGAAAGTCCATACCAGAGACTAAGTAGCAATGGAAGAAATTACAATGTGACAGACTGATTGCATTAACCAATGCTCTCTTCACCCAAGACTGAGGACAAAGAGAGGACAAGTGTCCTAGCAAAGGCAGGGAGGGAGGGAGCCTCACTTAAAGGAGCCAGTTATGTAGGAAACTCCACTCGCCTTCAGAGGCATCTCTAACTGTCCATGCTATGGGCTGTTCACACAAGCAGAGGCCTGGATACAGAGGTGACCAAGGAGCCTGGCACCCAACATGACTTTGTAGGACAGAATGGCTGAGCCCCTCAGGAGAAGCCTAGACTGCTATATCCATGGGGCAGAGGGAGTGGCCTGGACCTGGGAGAGTGAGGTGTGACTGTGGGCCTGGCACACCCTGCTGGGAGCACAGATAGGAACGACCCCACCCCCACCCCAGAATTGCGCAGGGAGCCCTACTGGACATGCTCGGAGGACACAGCCTCCCTAGGGAAAAGCCAGAATGAGCTCCTGCTCCTGTGATGGCAGCAGTGTGTCCAGAGCTCCAAAATGAATCATTGTCCTTGGAAAAGAACTGAGTTATGACAGAGGTAGCCCAGGTTTCAGGGGCATTTCAGCTGGAGTGCACCTTCAGGAGGAGGCCTACCCCTGTGTTCAGATCCCTGGAGCAGCTCCACGCACCAGCAGCAGGTGCCATCAGAGCACTGCAAACTAGAAAGCAGACCTGGGAGAGCTGCAGGGCACGCGAGCCAAGCACACGCAGCCGCCTGCAGCTCTGCTACCCATCTCAACAGTCTCACTCTGCAGGAACTGTCATGTCATTCATTTATTAAGAAGGTAGGGCATGTGACTGCTATGGAGGCACGGAGCACATGGGAGCCCAGAGTGCTACGTGCTCTGCCAGGGAAGTCCCCTCTCTGGGGACAGCGGGTGTGGTGACTGACCAAGGCCCTGTGCCTCCAGGAGACCAGTTACTTCACCTCGCTGAACTGATGCCGCTCCTGACAAAAGCAGGATGATGACAGCACCAGCCTCATGGAATAGCTGTCAGGGTTAATAGGACAATCTGTACAAAGTGCTGACCAATGTGCCAGTGCATCCTAAGGACTCAAATCCCAGCTATCACTACTATCATCATGACGATTATTTAAAAGCCAGCATTGGGGCTGGGCATGGTGGCTCACATCTATAATCCCAGCACTCCAGGAGGCTGAGACAAGTAGATTGCTTGAGCTCAGGAGTTCGAGACCAGCCTAGGCAAAAGTGAGACCCTGTCTCTACTAAAAATAGAAAAACTACAGCAGGAGGTTGGCTTGAGCCCAGGAGTTCGAGGTTGCTGGGAGCTATGATGATGCCATGGTACTCTACTATGCTATGCTATAATGTTGCCAGGGCAACAGAGTGAGCCTGTCTCAGAACAAAAACAACACTGGGAACAAATCAGTGCTGCGCTGCAGTCCGCCTGTGGCTCATTAACTCCTCGTGTGTCCGTGTGGCCCTCGTTGGTTCCTCTACTCAACACAAGCTCACCAATCCCACAGGGAGTCAAGGGGGCTATGTCAGCCCTCACAGGGGTGGACACAGATCTGCAACCTGGCACTGGTGACAGAGATGACCGGGCATGAGCATGGTGAAGAAAGGGCAGAGGCTCGCTGGTTTTGACAATGCTGGATGGTCGGAATCACCAAAGACGGATCTGCTGAAGACCAGTGAGAAAACCAGGGGAGGGGTCGCCTGAGCAGAGGCCCTGAGCAGCCACCTCTTCCATTGGTCAGCAGAGGGAGGTATGGGGCAGGCCAGCAGCGCAGGCCGCATGCCAGGGGACTGGTGGGTTTCCAGTCCCATGCCTCTACTTTCAGAGTCAGAAGGAAGATCACAAGCTCAAGTGGAAAGTGGTAGGGTTAGAGAGATTTAGGAACGTGAAGGAGACCTGAAATTACTCTTGCTCCAATGATAAAGAAGAGATTAACCAAGGAAATAAAACTCATAACAATTTCCATGTATTAAATGTGCTTTAAATGTAAGTGTGTGTGGGTGGCACCTGTGGCTCAAAAGGGTAGGGTGCTGGCCCCATATGCCAGAGGTGGCAGTTTCAAACCCAGCACTGGCCAAAAAAAAAAAAGTCAGTGTGTGTTAGGATTAAAAACATGGAGTCTGGATCCACTGAGATATCTCAATTCTACTGCTCAATACCTCTGTGACCTTGGCCAGTTGATTTAGCCTCTTTGAACCTCAATTGCCTCATCTGAAAAATAAGGGTATTAACAGTCTTATCCATATAAAGTTGGGGGTTTTTTTGACACAGAGTCTCACTCTGTGCCTGGGTAGAGTGCTGTGAGCATCAAAGCTCACAACAACCTCAAAGTCTTAGGTTCGAGTGATCCTCCTGCCTCAGCCTCCCAAGCACCTGGGACAATAGGAACCTACCACGACATCTTGCTAATTTTTCTATTTTTAGTAGAGACAGGTCTCCCTCTTGCTCAAGCTGGTCTCAAACTCTTGAGCTCAGGCAATCCTCCAACCTTGGCCTCCCAAAGTGCTAGGATTACAGGAGTGAGCCACGGTGCCTGTAAAGTTTTTACTCCCCCTTTGGTTAGATGAAATACACAGAGATTAGAACAGTGTCTGGCAAACAGTAAATGCTATATGAGTTCCCAGCAAAAATGATAATATTATTTTATGAGGAAGATAAATACCACTTTTCTCATTCTCATTTTTTGGTAACTTGAAGCCCTTATCTCTACCTGTCTGAATTCAAATCTTGCAAGGAAGGCCGAGTTCACATTCTAGGTTCTCTGTTAGGCTTTCACTGACTACCACTAGCCTTCCTCTTGCAGACTCCGGGCACACTCGTCACCCTCACCCCTTATGTGCCATTTAACACACATACACCTCCAACTCTTACTTGTTTTTTCATATTTAAATGCCTTGTTTTTCGTAACTGGATTGACAGGTGGGATCTTACTGGAAGTGTCTCTCTGCTTGCCCTCATGAGGTCTAGTGCAACGTCACTTCAAGAGGGATGTTGGATGCATGACATAAATTGGTCAAGGACTTCCCATGAACACAACCCACCTGATGATTAAGTTGTCCTCACCAAGGGTCACAACAGTGGCTTCTGTAGCTTGGAGAGACATGAGTTTGGCAAGGGCTTCTGAGGTTTTGCTCTAGGAAATAACCAGAATATAAAATGAGAGCTAGCATAAGCTGACCTGTGCAGACACATATGACACTCACAAGGCTGGGGTGAGAAGGGTCAGAAACAGCTGTAGAAATGGCAGCTCCCTACCACAGCCGCAACACACAACTGCAGGCTTTGTGGGGTGGGTGTGACTCGCTGTGCCCACGTGTCAGTGCCACACTGATACACTGTGCCTGTGCATGGAGTTCCAGGAATTACATTTCAGATAATACACCAGTCTGCCCATTGACTACTCTCTTTTAGATTCCGTCTAATTTCTTTTAGGGCCTGAGTAGCACTCTCTTATGGGATATGTTTCAACGCTAGGGTCAACATAGGGCATTAAAAATGGTGTGACCCTGAAGTAGTGACACAGATTTCTAGACTAACAACCTATATGCACACTCAGCTATGCAGGAAAATGCAACACAGGCTCTGCCCTGAGGGCCAGGCTTCTTCCCTTTACATAATACACCTGAACAAAGGTTTTAATAATTAGCCAGATTAGCTGGGATTTTAGAAGTGGCCTCCAATTTGGAGATTAGTGCCTGGAGCACCTAATTATATGGAGGTTTCCTATTTCTTCAAGTCTGTCTCTACATTATGTATAATCAGTAACTCTAAACACGGTGCTGAGAGGCCCTGGGGTTTGTGTTACTAAAGGAGCAGCTTGCACCTGAAGCTGGCGCTGCTGGTACCTTCGCCACATGCTCCAGCCAGCGCCCCAGGGCGATGAACACGAAGAGCATGGGGGGGGTGTCGAAGAACGTCACAGGACTCCTCTCAGCCTTCTCAAACACTGCAACCACCAGGATGACCAGAGAGTAGATGTAGGCGATACTTGTGGCCAGGACGATGAGCACGTCCATGTTGGCTGACCTGTGTCTCAAGGATTTGTAGGCCTGAACATAGAAGTACCATCCACCAAGGACCTGCAAGACAAGGTGAACAAAGGCAGGCAGGAGAGTCTTCAAGCAGCCTGGGGCCACAGACCAAGATGTGGAGACTGCAAATGCATGCACAGCGCCTGTCCTCTGTACAGGGGCCAGCTGGAAAGACGCACGCCCAGCTACAGAAAGACTGTGGTGATACCGGGGAAGGGGACTGGGTTGGGGCAGGATGTAATAATCAAACAATATCTTTCTCTCTTCATACTTAAATATGACTTAAATTGTTTACAGTAAGTATATATATTTTCAAGTAATTGAAAAAACATAGAAAAAAAAATTTCTGTTTCTTTAAGTCTGTTTCTATATTTGTATAATTAGTAATTATAAACATGGTATCCAGAGGAAGTAAATACAAACTACAAATGCTTGCCCCCAAATATCCCTAAACATTCCAGTACTAAGTTATGCTTTAGTTTTATATTTATTTTCCAAAATATTGCCTAGTTCCTTACTATCACCATCAAGAAGACATTCTACAAGGTTGTCTTTTTTAAATTATAATTTTCTCAAAGGTAAAGACGACATCTCTACCTTTCAAGATAGAAGCATGAGTCCAGGGTGATCCAGCCGCTCCCTCTAACAACAATGGTAAATTAAGCAGAGTAATATGCTAAGAGGAGACACAGATTCACCAGTCCTCACACAGAGAAGGCTGTAATTCCAGGGAGAGTTCTGATCTCCTGCAATCAGCTGTGAGACTGACAGTGAAACCAGGACCTTAGACCCTCACATGGGAGGACACCTCTGCACCTTGGCTTGGCAAGACAGAAAAAAGCAGCAACTGTCAGAGTACGGCAGGAAAATTGCAGGAACGTGCCACTTAAACCAAGGTTTGGACTGTGTCTGGCCTATGAGTATCTGCTGGCCCCACACAGGAGCACAGGCAGAGGTCTGCTCATCTTTCTCACACTTACCTGGACAAAAGTACACAAGATAAAGAAGAAGAGATTTAGAATGGACAGTCCGGGAATGATGTTATGGTCCAGGACGTGGGGCTCACTGCTGGGTACCAGCATGTAGATCATTAAACCCATGACAGGGACGCCAAACAGCAGGCTGCACAGGAAAGACTTCTTCCACCTAGGGAGCAAAGGCAGCAACATAGACAGATCAGATACCACCTGTCTTGGGGCCGCTTCCCTCCTGAGGGCCAGGCTTTAATGCTTGCCTTTGTCACACATCTGGGATAAACCACCAAGGGCTAAAATGAGACTAAGGATCACTTCCAGACACCGGCCATCCGAGGGAATATTTAAAAGTCTACATCTCGCTGCAAGGATGTTCCAGAGATGCCCAGGCCCAGCCCCTGCCTTTACACACCGATATGTCACTGCTGATTCCCAGGCGAGGCAATTGAGGCCCAGAATCTGAATATTCAGCCCCAAAGAGGTCTAATATCCTCAGCCTATGGCTGCCCATAGTTCTTTGTTCAAAATTCAATCATATCCAAGCCCCCAAAGAAAAAAATTGATAAAATCAGTATTTTATTAGTATAAACTTACTAATATATTCAATTTTTGAACAATTCCCTACAACAGAGTCAATGAGGATAATAAAGCTGTCTTGATGAACACCAGAGCTTGACAGCAGGAGTCATGGCTGCCAGTTGTCTCACATCAGCTGCAGCACTCGTGAAATTACAACTGGGAGGTGGCAGAGCCTCCAATGCATCTTAACCATGGCCTGAGCCCTGAAGTTCTAGGCTCTCAGGTTGCTGCCTGAGGCCTCTGGACAACCAGTCCCCCAAGGTGCCCCAGATGCCTCTCCTGCACCCACCATGCCAATCAGACCAAGTACATGAGCCCCTGAAGACCCCAGGACATCCCTAGCCCATCAACTCCTTCAGCCTTGCAAACATCCACTCATTTTTTGAGCCTAGATGTTTAAGGCCCCTGGCTGGAGGTTACCTTCCAGAATCTCCCTGAAATACTGCTGTCATTTCTCACTCTTATTCCCAGACCACTTTCTTTCTTCTCTGCCATAATGCCTGTCCTCAAATCCTAGTTCTAGAAATCAGACAAAGTCTGAAAACACTGTCAAAGGAAATAAAAAGCTGCACTCTTTTCCTCCTTTCCAATGTCAGTGCTGTTCAATCTGTTACCACCAGTCGCAGGTGGTTACTTAAATTAAAATTAATTAAAATTAAAATTAAATAAAGATTAAAACTTTCTTTCCACAGTCACACATGTTGCATTTCAAGCACTCACTAGCCACATGTGATGAGTTGCTTCCCTACCATGCAGTGCAGACATAAAGCAGTTCCTTGTCACAGAAACCCTTGTTGGACAGTGCTGTTTTAAAAGGTTAATGTTCCAAGAGTAAAGGCCACAACCCCGTGGACGGCCACAACCCCGTGGACGGCTCCAGAGGCAGCAGGCACACCCACAAGCATGCAGCACAGGCCCAGGCAGAGGAAGACACCACGGGACTACAATTTATCTTGTGTGTTCTACTTACTGTTTTATTTCCATCTTGTGGTCCAAGTGATGAGCACTGGGGTTTCTCCGGGCCAGGGAAGCATGAAAGCCAATTTCCTTGTTATTAGAAACGGTGGGGGGCGGGGGGGAGGGGAGGAAGAAGGTGCTTGGTTAAACAACGCATTGGTAGGAAGCACTTCACAGTCTTAGAAACCAGCAAGTGATTTGAACATTGCCTCAGACAGGTGTGGCATGTTTCCCCCCCTCAGCTTCTTTACCCAAGTTACCCCAAGGTTACTTCTGAACCTTGCTCAGAAGTCCAGCGCCCTTTTATGCTTAGAGATTGTCCCACTCCCAGAAGGGGGCACATAGTGATTCCTATTCTGGCACTACAGCTTCAGCAGGGCCCAACACCAGCCAGTGCTGACTTATAAGCTCATAAACTATCAGTTAAGAAATCCCAAATACTTAATTGTGAGCTACTTTCATTCCACACATGGACAAGATGCTTCCCACGAGGGAGACCACACGTGGACAAGATGCCTCCCGCGAGGGAGACCACACATTGACAAGATGCCTCCCGCGAGGGAGACCACACATTGACAAGATGCCTCCCGCAAGGGAGACCACACATTGACAAGATGCCTCCCGCGAGGGAGACCACACGTGGGCAAGATGCCTCCCGCGAGGGAGACCACACGTGGGCAAGATGCC